CGCTATAAGATTGGTCTTTAGCCTTAAACGGGCTAGCAGCGCCAGTGGTAATTGCGTGAGTAGAAATATTTTCAACTTTGAATCTCTTCAGCGCAAGGCATTATATAACTTCAGTCAGCGTCTACTTACGAGCGATAATGCTTTAATTCGTACTTGTGTCAACTCTGACAGTTTTTTCTTATCCAAATTTTGGACTAATCTTAGACGTTGTATTTATTAGTGTTCGTGTTTGTTATGTATTTAATATGGGACTTTTTTGGCCTGAAATAAAGGATTAATAATAATAATTAATAAAGGTATTTCATCAGACTCATTGAATTTCAAGCTCCTTTCTTATTAATAGATTTTGTGTGTTGACAATTTTGAAATATCACAAAAGTTGTTGCTGAATAATGATAATGAACATATTTATCAGAAATCGTTTACACAAACACAATATAAAGGGGATCCAATTAGATTTGCTACATTGCCCTTTTTTTAAAAGATTTAGCCTTCTGGAATAAAATGTTGATAGCTTCTCATGTGAAACTGTGTCATACCGAGTTTATTCAGGTTGTCTGCCATAGAACAATGTCTTTTGTTATACATGTAATTCATTTTCACCTAACAGACAAATACTAGAATTGTGAAAAAGCTAATAGAACAAACCAGAAGCATGGATCTCATGAAACAATAATGCAATAAATTGAGAAGTTTAATCAAATTTGAACTTCATTAAACTGTGTATTAAAGTTTGTGATATTTGTGCAAAAAACAATGGAAATTGTCAGTTTTCGTCAAACAAATCAGTCAGCTCAACTTAGAGATAATGCTCTACACACAAATGTAGGGTTTATGCCATTTTTCAACTAAATAAAAGATTTCACTTACCAGGGGTATATTCTACAAATATTAATCTAAACCCAAACCAAACCCATAAAGGTCATTGAAGTCTATCACTTACTGGATAGCCAAACATCATTTCAGCAACACTGCCACTTAATCTACAATTGTGATATGTTCCAGTATGGTCAGAAACTGAGAGTAGAACATCATATGACATCAGTGTAGTCACATCACCAGTAACAGATGCAGGACATTCACGGTTTTTACAACCACCAGTTGCTCTATCAATCCGAAATTTACACTGTGAACTAGCAATAGAAATGAACAAAGATTTATTATTCAGTTTTTCCATACAGAAAACTTTTCCCAATTCTATCAAAGTACCATTCATCTTTCTACAATCATCAAATGTTTCTTACTTAAATATACTGTTGATAGTTTGACAATGTGTGAGCTGGTCTGCATGTTGTTAAATAATATTTTGCACAGCATTTTACTGAAAGAAAAAACATTTTCCAACAGTACATGTCACCTGACTGGTTTTGTCTAATACACAAGTATTAAAAAAGGTTTGAATCATTACTAATGTATTAGTTAGTATGTTGATATAGAGTGTGCGCATAGAACACACTGCAAAGTAATTTGGTTAGTATAGTTTTTATCTTTCGAGGATGGGGGGGGGGTAGTTCTTCATATACCAATGAACTCACATTTGTAAAAATATATATGTATCTCTTTTGAAAGCTTTTACTATCAGTACCAGTAATCTGACAGTATATATTACCATACAAATGTATAAATTACCATTTCACTGATACAGCAGTACTGATGCCAGCGTCAATATTCATGGATGATATTAATGCATAGATTATGCCATATTCTGGAGCTATGTTGAATTCTGATTTGGTAGCAAACTTATTTTTAACTTGTTGAATAGTATATACATCAGTTATATTTGCCACTAGAGTAGAAAAAAAAAATATAATGCACAATGTAAGAAGATAGTTCATATTCAAACTCATTAAATTAAGTAACACTTCAACTTTAAGAAAAAAACAAAAACATTTTTTTTAAATACAAGTCATCATCATTTCAGCTTCAACAATCTCATTCACTTAATGTATAAAGTATAAATCTGTTTCTATATAATTGGTAGAATCCCCAATGCACATCACTCGTGGCTACACTAGCTGCAGTCAAAGTAATTGCTTGTTGCACTGGAAATAATAATAATGTACATGTAAGTAATAAGGGGAGAACAATTGGTGGAGTGAACACATAATGGTTGTATTTATGCAAATTTGGTTGTTTCTGCATGCTATCAAATTATTATTATTGGTCAAAGGTCAAAAATGGTGTAGTGTATAAACAGAGTTTTTTTCGAGAGTCAAATCGAGCAAAATTTTGCTGTATTGAAGGTACAGCATGCAGTTTGAGTCAGTTTGGATAATTGTTCTATCATTCTGCAAATTTTTACATTTTCACTTGTTTACAGTATAAGAAAACAACAATTAACTCAATTGAGTCTATCCTATGTAAGTCTAATTAAAACACTTACACTCAGGGTCCTTTCCAGCTGATGATCCTTCATTCAAGTTTTCTTCTTCAAAATTGTAAGTTTTTCCATAGGTATATAAAGAATGAGCTTCTCTAGTATCTATTATACAAAACAAAAAAATATACGCCTTGCTCTGTAAGAGGGGTGAAGCCAAAGTAGCATTTGATATATGCACATGAGAGTTGTTAGGCACAGACCCAACACTGTACAAACACAAAATTTCAGAATTTATGCCCTCATGCTTTTCTACGCTGTGTAATTTGTATGTAATTTTCCCTCAACAGTTTGGCCTTTCAGACAATACCTTCAATATACCGGTACAATGCATTTGAACTTAAATTCCAGTACTTTGTGAATAACTTCATAATATTATTATACATTAAATACTCTAATCTAGAGTTTCAGAATACAATAAGTTCTGGGATTTGCATCCAATAACTATGCAAACTAGGAGTTCAATAACATTGGATTCTGAATGGATCCAAATATAGATGATTCAAACTCTAAAATTTGCTGACATGACTGCTCAAATACATGTCTTCTAGCTTGTATGAAGCATAAGTAAGTGGATTAGGGTCTCAGTGTGTGATAAAGTATGAAACAGTACTGAGATATTGTGTTTCAGTAGTTGTGGCATTCTGCAAACTCTGGCTCTATTAAAGGGCGGTACAGACAAAGATGGCGACTTTGACTGTTGCACAGATCAACGAGTACAAACTGAGACGTTACCAAGCATTAATAAAGTATTTTTTTCGGTGATTAGAAGGTATCAAACAAGTCACTGGTGGTAATTAGGGCAAGTATGGTCCAGGGCAAAACTTGTACTCACGATTTCATTAGAAAAGCACATTGGATTGTCGAAAAATCAATCAACACAAATATTGCACATGCACGGCGCAACAACAACTACCCTTCAAAAGATGTATAATAATAAGGTTATTAACAAAATACCAGAATTCATGCCTTGTAGATCATTGCCCTCAATGATACATGTATCAAACAATACCTTCACTGTATGATGTACTAGAACATACATTTCTGTAATTCTTTATTAACCTCATATTATTACATATGTACCACAGTTTACTTTATTGTACCTCTGAAAGTATTAATATTTCTATCGATATGCAATTGAGTAGAAATCGCATACTTGTGATCCTCTGATCATGAAAATACAGCTGCAGGATATACCTCAACACTCATAAAAACATCTTAAAAACCCCACCCCCCATATAGAACTATAGATCATGAAAACACTTTAAACTACCTGGATTTACTGTGAAGATAGTTTTTGAATCTACAGTGGCTATCATAGTTTTCCTGAAATCATCAAAAGATACTCTAACATCAGCAGCAAATATCACTGTCAAAGATACAATATCAGTGTGATGTCACTATTCAGAAATATGAATTGGTTTATCAAACAGAGCCATATGACCATATTTTGGCTTCATGTTAAGTTACTACATGATGATACAGTATTACTCAAACATATTCCATGACTTGCTTTATGTTTTATCATTAAATTTGTTAATGAACAAACATACAAGCTCAATTCTATGTGATGAGGAAATTATATAATAAACTAAGCATATACTAATTAATAGAAATAAAATAAGTAACTTCAATTAACAAACGCTTGAAAACATCAAAATCTGTGTGTTGTAGCTGAGAATTTCAAAAGCATACACATTCAAGGGTTACTCTGTTTTGGATGTCTATTTTACACTTCTCATTGATCCTATCGAGAATTTTTTTTTCATATCAAAATCCTCATTAATTGTCATTACTAATAGCTGAATTTTGCTTATAGATTTCAAATTATTACCTGTATCTTTGACATTCCATGTTTGGGCATATTCAATATTTTCTTCATCCCAACTTAGAACAAAAAAAAAAGTAATAGTTAAAAACAAACGAGTTCATTACAGTGTGAAAGCGGGTGCTATTCTACCAAAAGAATGATTATAATAAAACTGTTTTAAATTTCCATCATTAAATCTCAGTGTTTAATATTATTACCCACTGTTAACATGAAAGGATTTCCATTTATTTCTACATCAAGTTATTTGACAACTTACTATGAAATTAACAGATAATATAATAACACCATCATGCGTTATGTGTCAACTTTACTAGCTTCACCCCTGACATTAAGATGCTCACCACCAACAATAGAATAACTAAGGAGATTCAAAATGGGTTTTGGCTTTTCATTCCCCCTCTCTAGAAAGATGGTAGTAACACCTTGCAAAAGTGAATGATACTATGCCACAATTAAATTTTACCATGGTAATTTGAAAAAGTAAAGTAAATGTCCAAAAAGTTTAATATTTGCTAATGGATGTTAGACCAGATGTGAAGTAATTATTTTTATTTTTTAACTCCAAGAACAACAAGTCACAGTCCCCGTAAAATTTTTAAAAGTACTCTTTGTGCTTGTCATATTAATGTGGAGAGAGCGTGTCCTTGAAACTTGAGTCCAAAGTGGCGTATACAACAGATTGTTTATTTACATCAAATTCAAACATGTGTTGCGTGACGACCCCTTCCTGTTTAAGACATAGCAAAGAAAAACATAAATCATAAGTGAAAGCATGTCCAAGTTATCACATTTTAAATAAACAAGATGGCCACCAGTCGGCCATATTTCATCAAATTGCAAATTGAATTGTCATGTACATGTATCCATTTATGACATATCAATGAAAATGATACATGGGTGACAGAGATATAGTAATATGGCCAAAAATAAAAACAGCCGTTAATCGGCCATCTTTGATCTGATTATGAAACAAAGTGACATGTATGATGTATGTGCCAAATGATGTGTGTCAAAATGTTACATAAATCTTGGAAATATAGTAGTAAGGCCAAAAAGTCAGATGGCTGTCAATCGGCCATCCTTGATCCGATTTTGAAACAAATTGTCATGAACATGTATGCTAACATGTATAAAGTATGTGGCAAATTTGAATGAAAACTGACAAAGCATGTCCACTATGTATACCATGTGGTATACATTTAAAAAAAAAAGATGCCTGCCAGTCAGGCATTTTGAATCGAATCGCTAAACCACTGCATGTACATATGTCCCACATAAAGTACTTGGCACATGCAAAGATGA